ATATGAAAAAGAGTGGGTCCTAAAACTGAGCCTTGTGGAACACTATTAGTTACGGTTAAATAGCTAGACGAAGTGCCATTATGTCTAACACATTGCCTCCAATATCTTATTTAAACACTTGACTCTTGAGTGTTATGGTGGTGAGTGTTGCATACTCCTTTCATTACTTCAGCTCTAAGGTCAAGGTCAGAACTCAAGGTCAACGGTTATACTCTACTTGTGGATCGTCCAGTCAACGGTCAAGTTTAAAGTCTTCAAACCATCGATTTTTAGCTGTTTCGGTTGTTTTATGTTTTGTAACGACGTCTGCCTTAAACCGAAAAGGTCTAAAATTATTGTTCTGATGCGACGCAAAACTTTTTTTATTTTTTTTATTTTTACACGTAATAAATCAATTGTGGTTTTGTCAGTCTAGGAATTCCGGTTCTGTCTGCCTCAATGTGCCCACGAGCCAAACACTTCGTTTAAATGATATTTTTAACGTAAACAGAGACGTTCTTGCTCCATTTCCTCGTCTTTCTCAAAGAGACCTTTGTATTTTTAACTTAAACACTTCAAACGGGCTGATTTTTATCCCCTTATGCCCACTTCCTGCTTCCTGGGTCTTCCCACCTCATCGGGGTCGTGTGCTACCAGGCAGAACTTTGCCAATGATTACAGAGGCCCCTTTAAAAAAAACAAAAAACCCTGAAAGGTGACGCTCCAGAGAGAACAAGACGGAGGTTACTCTTGTTTTACAGCGACGGGAAAGCACGCCAAGTCAGCGGAGCGTTTGACCGTCCGGCTTGTTTTTAGGCTAATTTGCTACATTGACTTGTTTAAATGTCTCTCGGCTTCCGTTTACTCTGAGGATTACCAAGAACATGTCTCCACTAAGATCTGTTTCATCTCTAAGATGGACTGGAACCATCCAGCATCATTTAATGCCTCATACAGGTGCTGGTCATAAAGTTAGAATATCATGAAAAAGTTGATTTGTTTCAGTAATTCCATTCAAAAAGTGAAACTTGTATATTATATTCATTCATTACACACAGACTGATATATTTCAAATGTTTATTTATTTTAATGTTGATGATTATAACTATGAAATCTAATGAATAATAATATAATGAAAACCCCAAATTCAGTATCTCAGAAAATTAGAACATTACTGAAGACCAATTAAAAAAAGGATTTTTAGAAATGTTGGCCAACTGAAAAGTATGAACATGAAAAGTATGAACATGTACAGCACTCAGTACTTAGTTGTTGCTCCTTTTGCAGCGTAGCATGGAGTCCATCAGTCTGTGTCACTGCTCAGGTGTTCTGATAGTGGCCTTCAGCTCTTCTGAATTGTTGGGTCTGGTGTATCACATCTTCCTCTTCACAATACTTCATAGATTTTCTATGAGGTTAAGGTCAGGCAAGTTTGCTGACCAATTAAGAACAGGGATACCATGGTCCTTAAACCAGGTACTGGTAGCTTTGGCACTGTGTGCAGGTGCCAAGTCCTGTTGGAAAATGAAATCTGCATCTCCATAAAGTTGATGAGCAGCAGGAAGCATGAAGTCTCTAAAACTTCCTGGTAGACGGCTGCGTTGACCTTGGACCTCAGAAAACACAGTGGACCAACACCAGCAGATGACATGGCCCCAAACCATCACCGACTGTGGAAACTTGATACTGGACCTCAAGCAACATGGATTCTGTGCCTCTCCTCTCTTCCTCCAGACTCTGGGACCTTGATTTCCAAAGGAAATGCAAAATTTACTTTCATCAGAGAACATAACTTTGGACCACTCAGCAGCAGTTCCAGGTGAGACACTTCTGACGCTGTCTCTTGTTCAAGAGTGGCTGGACACAAGGAATGCGACAGCTGAAACCCATGTCTTGCATATGTCTGTGCGTGGTGGTTTTTGAAGCACTGACTCCAGCTGCAGTTCACTCTTTGTGAATCTCCCCCACATTTTGGAATGGGTCTTGTTTCACCATCCTCTCCAGGGTGCGGTTATCCCTGTTGTATGTATACATTTTTTCTACCACATTGTTTCCTTCCCTTCACCTCTTTATTAATGTGCTTGGACACAGAGCTCTATGAACAGCCAGACTCTTTAGCAATGACCTTTTATGTCTTGCCCTCCTTGTGCATTGTGTCAATTGTCGTCCTCTGGACAACTGTCAAGTCAGCAGTCTTCCCCATGATTGTGTAGCCTACAGAACTAGACTGAGACCATTTAAAGGCCTTTGCAAGTGTTTTGAGTTCATTACCTGATTAGAGTGTGGCACCAGGTGTCTTCAGTATTGAACCTTTTTACAATATTCTAATTTCAGAGATACTGAATTTGGGGTTTTCATTAGTTGTCAGTTATAATCATCAACATTAAAAGAAATAAACATTTAAAATATATCAGTCTGTGTGTAATGAATTAATATAATATACAAGTTTCACTTTTTGAATGGAATTACTGAAATAAATCAACTTTTTCATGATATTCTAATTTTATGACCACTACCTGTATTTCATATAGTTTCTTGGACTGAGAACACGGGGTGTTGTATCTTCTACGTCTCCAGATGGGACGTTATCGTTGAGACAGACTGATAGTTGTGTTTACAGGCACTAAAATGTCTCCTTTATGTATTTAATGCAATGGAAGCCGGATTTTGTGTGTTTGTTTGCGTGGACCGAATGATTCTGAGGCATCAGTCTGACCGGTTTGCTCCTTCTTTCCACCATGTGCCTCCTGGCTCTCCTGCGGTCTAATATTACAGGGATTATTTTTGTCTCTCGCTCTACATTTTGCGGCTTTAGTAATAGCCACCTTGTGCTACATTTGTCATTTATTAAAAATAGAACAAGCCGCTTTTTCCTCAATCCTACTAAAGCTGAGTTCACATTCACGGCTGCAGGATGGCCGGGAGGCATCCTTCATGGAGAACTCAACGCTTCTCAACTCCGATGCAGCGGACTCTTTATCTGTAGGTTTAGCATTTTCTGACTTTTCCACATGTTTGAGCTGTTTGAAACACGGGAATTACATTCAAATCCAGCAGACGGACACAGCAGGGCGTTGAGATTTCTTTTTAAAAGGACACGTCGTCGTTAGTAAGCTTGTTGCTTTTCGTTAATCAAACCAAAGCACACTCTTGTTTCTGACAGACTCGTTTCCTGCAGGCTCTTTAATACTTGTTGCGCTGTGGCCATGGAAACCGTGGCAGAGTGGTGGTTGTGGGCAGAACAGAGGTGGGGGCTGCAGGAAATGAAGGAGGATGCCTACTTTAATGGAGCAAATGCAATCACACCGGTCATGTGTTAACGTCATGTCGTCTGGCCTGCAGTCATTAGCCTCCTCCCTTCTCCTTAGTCTTTCCTCTTCACTCGAGACGTGTCCGTTCTAAAATTTTCACCCATAGGAGCTAAGCTGACCTTCCATAAATTGAGGAGGGGGTTTACTCGCTGCGCTCGAGCCCAATCCTGTTCCTCCGTGTTTAAAATGGAAACGGTGAAGCAGGAAGAGACGACGGAAGGTGCTTTCTTTACTCGCTTGCACCACGAGCTCTGAGAGGTTTCCCTGGGGGTGAAGTGCCCTGGTTTCTCTCACAGCGAGAGCATCTTAGTCCAGGCTCTGCTCTAAACAGGAACTACTTTTATTTCAGAGGAT